GTATCGTGACAACTCATGTTAAACCTGCAACAAATTATTAACTATATTTGGGGTTTTCAGGAACAGATTTTGTAACATAGTTGCCTTATGAGATTCCTTAAATATTAAGAATTGAAAAGAATACCACAAAGTTGTTTCTATTCTTAGCAATTGTACTTTTAAAAAACTTTGCTTGCTTTTAAATTCAGTTGCTAAAACAAAACAAAAAAAAACTGTTGCTTGAAAAGTCAGAATACCTAACTAGAAATTTATTTCTTTGTTTTTTAAAGGGGAAGGATGGTGAGAAAAACAGAAAGCACGTGGCTGACATGAGAAGTCACAAGATTAGTTCATCATGTGTCCAAACGACACTCGGCTGCGAAAAGAAGGCCTCCTCTGAGGGGGCTGTTGAGGAGAGCGCGAGTCAGGAGGCTTCCAGCACAGGACTGCAGGGACTCGGACACGGGCTGTCACGCAAGGGGGCTTACTGTCCGTGAACTCCCAGCCCACAACTTCAGGGCTCCGCAGCTTCGTCCTTTGTAGCCCCAAACCTTGACGTAGAGAGGCAAAGACACACTCATAAGAACTGTGAGTCTGTCCTCACTCAAAACTGAGGGGCTGGCGAGCTAACCGGACCAAGACAAGGAGACCTCATCTCTCAGAGAACAGGATTCGGTACTAACTGTCAATTATATTGGCATTTAAAATCAGTAAAAGGAATGTAGCACTGCAGGCCATCAAGGTCAGACCTTTAAAACAAAATTAAACCAGATTATAAGGAGAACTAAATGGCTTTTTATCTTTGTTAGGGGAAGAATGTGAGTACATTGACTGCCTCTTTATGTAGAAGGATCTAGAAAGATTTGGGCATGATTGACTTAGTAATAAACTACTGAAGATGTGGGACTGCAGTGAGACTCAAGTGTGCCCCATGAACTCGCAGAAGCGCCACACATCATGGAATGGGCCTAAATGAGAAACCCTGCTGCCCCCGGGTGTCCATGAGTGCGGGGCACCAGCTTCACCAAATTCACCAGAGACACTGCCAAGAAGCATTTCTGGGTTTCCATGTTGTGTTTCTGTCATGTAGATGAGCTGGAGTAAAAGCCAAATCTTGTGGAATAACTCCATTTTGCCATTTTAAAAAGACACCATCAGTCTTGATGAACAAGGGTGATCAAAAGAAAGTATTTCTACCTTTTATTTTTATTTTTTTTTACATGGAATATTGAGCAATGAAGTAAATAAAGTTCGTTCATCCTTGGCTAGAGACCCTTCCTCCTCCCCATCCATTTTTGCCTGTTGCAAAATAACCTAGTCCAAAGAAAGGGAAGAAGACAAGTGAGTGAACCAATGTCAGAGTTAGCCATTGCCAGGAAAAACACGCTCTGATTCAGTTAACTTGTTCTGTGAATGCCAAAGGCTGTGATTCCCAATTAACTAATTTTAAGAAGCTGAAACTGAAAATAGTCACATCAGCTCTAAAGTCAATGTCTGGTGAGGATTAGGATCTTCCATTAAGAGCACAGGGACCCCAAAGGGGTAGTGATATCTGTTTAAGATCATCTTGCTAAATAAATACACACTGGTTTGGTTTTCAAACAGAGTTTAGTCCTTGCAGAGACGCTGAGTGGAGGTGAGAGGAGTGGGGACAAGCCAGATACCCTGGCCATAGAAAATGTTCCATAGATCCAGATTTGTGTATACTCTGCTTCCTAATGGCAGAAGCATCCATGCTTCTCTCTGGGATGGAGATGCTCCTCTAGCTGGAGTGGAATTAATCACAACAGGCATGTCGTTTGCAGCTTCCAGCTCCCTTACTGGAAGGCTCCATGCACATAAGCCAGAGCGCCAGGCCTGAGGGAGGCCAGGCCAGAAATGGCTCCACTGCCCCTCCTTCCTCTCTCTTTATATTGCAATGGTGCAATAATCATCTTTTTTTAAAGCAGAACACTCATGGTTTCGGTACAATAGCAAGTGCTTTGATGACCTCTGAACAGGGTTAACATAAAAGTATATGTGCTCTTAAAAGTCAAGATCATAACCTGCTAATGAAGCCGTGAATGATCCAGAAGGAAACTGCACACAGGCATGTGCTGAATGCCAGCATCTTTTGCCTCTAAAGAGTTCAGCTAGTGTCTTTGTAATATTAAAGCCCAACAGGGGGCCGGCGGGACACCTTTGTGCTGTCTTGTCACGTTATACGTTTCTGGTTTCAGATAAAAGAGGAGAAAGACCCTTAAGAAAGCAAAGAACTTGGGGGGGAAAAAAATCAAACTTCCTTCTCAGAAAGTGAAGGGTTGTTTTCCCAGAGATGATGAATAATGGCATTTCAGCTTTTTAAGTTTTTAATAGAGAAAATGGAGGCAAGTCATGGAGGGAAAAGAGAATATATAAATAAATAGTACAAGGTGAGGTTTCAACAAGCGCTTCCCTCTTTTTTTCCTTCTTTTTTTTTTTTTTTGTGAAATCTTAAACCCCATTTCTGGCTTGTATTTGGCAGGATTCTTGGCTCTGGCTTTTATTAAAAACAGACTTTATGTGGTCAGAATTCTCCATCTACAGCTACACTGTAATAGGCCTGGGGACCCTGACAATCTTTCTTGCTCTCTCAGGTGACCCGCCCCCCTCCCCCGCCCCAGGATTTCCCTCACAATGCGCTGAACCGGCACAGAAACTTGAAGGCTCAGCACAAAACTGCCAGCTTTCCTCTTATATGCCATACTCTCATTTCTGTTTTAAATTTGGGGCTTGTTGCAAGGCCAGATCAAGTTAAGTCTGGTTCTAACTTGAGAATATTCTAGAAACTTCAAATAATACAACCCTTATCCTCCAGGCTACCCCCCAGCCTCTGCACCATCTCATTAGCCAGCCCGGCTGCTGATTCCCGCTGTGCCTGGTGGGAGCGAGCTGGAAAACACCAGGGGGTGATTCCCACCATGCCTGGTGGAAGGGTGGTGGCGAGCCAGTTTATCTACAACCGGGAGGCAAAGCAGCCAAGCAGCAGGCAGGACACGCAGGCTCATCCCAAGGACGGGCACCAGAGGGCTACTCCAGTCCTTGCAGCCAGACAGACAAACACGGTTCCTGCCCACTCCCAACTCCTCCTTCCAATGACCACTACACCTTCCTGGCACGATGGCAGACACTCGCCCAGTCACTTTGAAGTTGTCTAAAGCAATGAATTTGATCTTGCTTATGGCAAGGCTCAGTGTTGAAATTTGCATTGTTTACGCAGAAGGGAATTCTTTTGAATGGTGCAGTGTGGTGGTTCTCAAGTAGGGAGGAATGTTACTCTCCTAAGGGATGCTAGCAATGGCTAGAGATATTTTCAGTGGTAACAACTGACATCTAGTGGGTAGAGACTAGGAGTGCTACTAAATGTCCTACAAAGCACAGTACATCCTGCTCCCAACAAAAATGCCAGTGGCGATGAGGTTGAGAACCCCTGGAGTTGTGGCTGGGAGATGGCTCTGGAGTTAGATTGCTTGGGATTAAAGCCCAGTTCCACAAGAGATTAGTTGAGTAGTCTTGGGTAAATTGCTTAACCTCATGCCTCATCTGCAAAATGTGGCTACCACCCGACTTCCTGGTGCATTGTGAGCATTACACTAAAGTGTACGTGAAAGCCCTCAGGACAATGCCTAGCACGACTGAGAGCACAATTCACATTAGCGAACGCTAGTACTATTATCACTAGACATCTAGCTCAGTTCCAAATATATTGTAAGCCAAGCTTGTTGGATTTAAAGGGAAAAATAGGATTGAGGAAACAGATCTCTTCTTTGCTTAGGACCAAAATGATGATGACAGTGGTAACAACCAGTCTTCACAGTTTCTCAAACTCTTTCAAGACCATCTCATATGAATTGGGCAGCAACCCCGTTGTTGAATTTTCCCTGTTTCACAGATAAGGAACTCCTGTCTCAAAGTTAAACAAGCTGCCCAAATCGTGCAGCAGCCCAGGGTTTCCGGTTGCAAATCTCCTGCTTACTCCTGCTGCACCACCCCTTCTTTCCTTCATTATACTCAACGGCCCGAAGATCAAAACACCCTGTCAGTGCCACAATCAGTGGCTGAGTGATTCAGCCTTCACGGGTGGGTAAGAGTCACTTCTGTTTTTATAGTACTTATGCAGTCAGAGTTTCCTTCATGGAGCATATGAATATTTTAATTGTCTGAGTTGAATCTTTAAAAAATCAACTTTATGTAAGGGCTAATTTTCTTCCTTTTTACATTTCTGATTTTTGAGTGAGATAATTCTCAGTATTTTATACCTTTAAAAATCTCTGATTATACTCGTATATATTTTAACCGTAAAGGCTGAAGGTGAGAATCTAGCTCCAGCTACAGATGCTTCCGGTTCCATTATTTATTAGCCACCTTGTTCCGCAATTAGGCCTGAAAATCTGCTTCGAATTGTTCAAATGTTTTATTCAAATGTACAGTGTTCTGTCATATACGTGTGGTTAAGTCTGTGCACAGCAATCGTTATGTCTATGTTAAAATTTCTCTGTGCGGTTTTTGAAAAAGCAACTGCAGATTAATCAACTGGATTTTATTCGGTCTACCTCAAAGTTAGTAATACCAGGTAGAAGGATCAAAGTGTAGAAGGTAGGCAGATGGATAAAACTCCTTAAGCCAGTGGTTTTCTAGAATCCCGCCGGTAAAGGAAAAGGCCAAGCCTTAGTGCATGAAACTCTCACGACCTGGGACCCAGGGAGCGCATGGCTTGCCACAGCCAGCCCAGGCTTTTGTTTCCAAGCCCTCGGTCGAGTTCTGGCAACAGCCGCCAGAACGTCTTTCACCGGGACCCGGCGTTCTTTGGTCCTAGCTTGTGCCGGCTGATAAGTGAGAAGCTTGCATGATCACAAAAAAAGCTTGCATGAAATGGTGTCATGGGCTGGGCAATTTTCCTCTGGTCCCCTCTGGTGTGAAAATTGCAGACACGAACGGGAAGATCTTTGCAACGCTCTCTGGCGAGCACACTTTCCGGCCACGCCGCGAGAAGAGAACCTTACCTGGGGACGCTGGGCGGGGCCCTGGCGGGCCGCGACGGCACCTGCGGAGGGGCCCCGAAGGCGTCGCTGCTGCTGGGAAAAGGCGGCAGCGGGCCCGGACGGAAGGGCACTGGGGGCGCCCCGGCGTGGGGGCCCGGAGGAGGGATGGCGGGGGCCGGTCCCCGGCCGGATGTGGGCCTGGCGAGGGGGGCGCTCAGCGTGGGCCTCCTTTGGGCCGTGGGGCTCGGGGGAGGCGACCTGGGAGAGAAGACAGGTTGCAGTTGGCCCGCTCCTACTCTGTCCAAGTTCATCTTCAGAAAAGCCTTGTATATTCCTGACTGCTTTTTGGAAATTGTTTTCTGAGGACCCGGATACACGACACGAAAACCAAAGGTATAAAAGGGTAAATGGAGAAAAGTTGCTTTTTCTTTCCCACCTCTTTCTCTGTGGAGATGGCCAGTGGTAGTTTCTTGTGTCGCCTTTTTAAACTATATTCTACATCTATAAACATGTACATTTTCTCTCTCTATAAATCACCTTTTGTACATCAGAGGCCACAACATTCTACAGTTTTTTTAAGCTTCACATTAACTTGATTATTCTTTCATTTCGGGACTTAATAGAACTGTCTTATTCTTATTCCTGACTGTCTAACATTTCAGTGCACGGTGCCCAGGGCTTGGCTTTGGAGGCAGGAGGTGTCATCCCACCCCCTTACTCCTGCTGTGAGTGGCTTTCTTCCTTTCTCTCTCTCGGTTCATGTTGCCTCAGGAAAGCACTCTCTGAAAATGACCCTGGACAAGTGAGGACCTCCGGGGCTGGGGTCATCCTCCTACCTGCGAGAGTGCTGGATCCAGGAGTCGTCCACTGGAGGCGGGGCAGGGGTGGACACGGTGGCCGTGTTGATGTCCCCGATGATCACAAGGGCCTCTTTAAGGGCCTGGTACATTCGAAGCATCTCATCTCGGCGCTGAGCCTGCTCAGCAGATTCCTCCATCAGAGTATTTTGGTCCTCGGAAGAATAGAGCTGGGCTAGGAGCTCTGAGTTTATGAACTCCTTAACCTGTCAGATCACCACAGAAAAATAAAAAGGCAAATGGATGACAGACTGAATGGCATAAACACAGCTGTGGGTTGCAGTCTGTGGATGGTCCTCCGATGACCACCCCAGGGAAGGGAAGCACCACACAGCTGCTCACTCTTACTCCTCCCCATCCCAGCACTGGGGCTGGCGGGCCTTCCCCTGCCTTGTTGTCGACACTGAAGGATGAAGCCCAAGCCCTGCCATGACTGAGCAGGGTCTGTCGGCGGTGCCCGTGTCTCCCACACTGTCTGAGACCATCTGCTTATAGAGGAGGGAAGGACCGCGAGGTATGCACGGTATCTCCATCAGAAAACAGAGAGGTGAGACAATCTGTGTAGCCACATGGTTTGTGTTCCTTGGCATTCCCACTCCTGTGCCACCTTTTACCAAAACCACTGGGAAATTATGAAGACTCCAAGTTTCAATGTTGTCTTAAAAGGGGAATTAGCAGCAGTAGATGAATATTTATTAAATACAGAACCTCAGACAACTATGTGAGTTGATTAACAAACAAGTGAAAGAGATACTCTCTGCTTTCCAGAAGTTTTCAACAGAAGTTAGCAAATAGTGAGGAGGAGTGAGGGCAGGTTTCATAGTTAACATATAAAAACAAACTGAAGTATAAACAGTGTGTGGGAGCCTTAGTGGGGGCATTTTGTAGCAGGATGAGAATGGAGGGGAGGAAAGGGCACAGAGCAGGGAGTGAGGGCACACCCACCACACCTCTTCAAGCCTAAGACACCAGTGGCTTGAAGAAACGCCACTGTGCTAGGCACCATTAAGACAGGAGAGGCACCACCGATTACACTCCCACTGAACATCAGGATGCCACTGAGTGTAAGATGTATCTTTCAGAACATTAAATGCAAAGGAAGTGCATGCGAGGATCAACGAAGTACAGCATGTCCTGCATGTCTTCACATATTACATAACTTAATTATCATCACTTAGGATTAAATGTATTATTATTTCAATTTTACAGATGCAGAAGCAAGTTCAGAGAATTTAAGTAACTTGCCCAAGGTCACACAGCATCAAGCTGAATCCAGAATCTTCTGACCTATAGTCTAGTGCTCATTTCCTTACCTTGTCATCCCATTGTGATTGAGTGCTTAGAAAAGTCAATTTATGTTTAAACTAATCATTATTTTGCAGGGGTGCAGCAAGTACATCAATTAACTTAAGACTAGGAAAATAAACCAAGCTGGGCTCGGTGGCTCAGCCTGTAATCCTGCGCCTTTGGGAGGCTGAGGTGAGTGGATTGCCTGAGCCCGCGGGTTCGAGACCTGCCTGGACAACTTGGCGAGACCTCATCTCTACAATAAATCAAAAATTAGCCGGGCATGGTAGCACACGCCTGTAGTTCCAGCTACTTGGAAGGCTGAGGCGGAAGGATCGCCGGAGCACAAGTAGGTCGAGGCTGCGGTGGCCGGGAGCGGCCACTGCACTCCAGTCTGTGCGACAGAGTGAGACTCCAACTCAAAAAAAAAAAAAAAAAGAAAAAGAAACCTATTTGAATTTAAAGTTTCTCTGTTACACAAGAAAGCTAACTCCTATCTGAAGTCACTAGATAGCGCTAAGAAAGGCCAAAGGCAGGTATATTTACTTGTTACAAATTCAGGCAGATAACAGAATACCTGTCAGATGTGCAAAATTCCCATTTTCGTTGAATTTGTAACTGAGAGATGACAAGAGTCTAAAAGATTTGGCTTCATTATTTTTTAAAGGTATCAAAACATGTAAATAATTCTAATTTAAAAATTCAGCCAAATTAAAGGTTTACTGTGGTGAAATAAAAAATGTTCTCTGCACATATTTTGTAAGCCAAGAGTGATTCAAATGTGGAAGTAATCTAATGTACAAGCTTTAGGGAACTGTCTGGTGGATAAGATGGTTTATGTATGATAGTTGTGGAAGGTAAATGTGGCCAGGTACCTGGGGCACTTGCAAAGGCCATGGATGCCAAGGAAAAGTGTTGGAACTTTATCCAGTTGGCAGTGAGGAGACATGGAAAGGTTTTAAGCAAGTCAGTGAAACAATGAAAGGGTTTTTAGGAAAATTAATCAGGCTGAGGTTGGAGAAGAATTTGTAAAAATGGTAGTGAATGTAAAGAAATCTGTTAGCAGGCTATTGTTGATCATCCATGAAATGATAAAGGTTTAATTTAGCATTGTTTCAGTACTTAGAAAAATGAGTGTATATAAGAGACATTATAAAGGAAAAGAACAACTAGACATGGCATTACTGGGATGTGAAGGGCAAGAAAGAAAGGAACAAAGACACCCTGAAAGGAAGTACCTATAGAAACCTAGAATAAACTTAGTAGACTTCACCCCCGACACGCTTTGAACCTAGTGCAGGTTAGACATAGATAGATAAATTTCCAACAGGCAGGTTTTAGGAGACGATCAGACATTTTTTTTTTTTTTTCTTTTTTTGAGTTGGAGTCTCACTCTGTCGCCCAGACTAGAGTGCAGTGGCCGCTCCCGGCCACCGCAGCCTCGACCTGCTGGGCTCCAGCGATCCTTCTGCCTCAGCCTTCCAAGTAGCTGGAAATAGCTAGGTGCGTGCTACCACACCCGGCTAATTTTTTGATTTAGTGTAGAGATGAGGTCTCGCCAAGTTGCCCAGGTGGGTCTCAAACCCGCGGGCTCAGGCAATCCACTCACCTTAGCCTCCCAAAGGGTGGGATTACAGGCTGAGCCACCGAGCCCGGCTGATCAGACATTTTAAAATTACATTTCACTGCAGGCCAAGCTGGCAGCCTATCTCTACCCACTCGGCAAATCTCCATCAGATACAAGACCAGGACAGCCCCACAGCCCAACCTTTCAATTCATGGTTTAGCATAATAATCTCTAGGAAATTTTCAGGTTCCTTGTGAAGGCAGAAGATCAAAGATCACCCCTTGGCTGGCTGAGGGCATAGAAATGATAATAAGACCACCTTTTGGACAAGGAGATTGTGGATTGGAAACATCTGACAAGTTTCTTGCAGGAAAAACTCCTCCCCTTGTCTCCCATCCAGCCCACCACCATGGCAGCAATCATGTGACTAACCCACCCATCCACCTGCTATTCATCACCTGACATCAGTACCTGTGCCCTTTTGTGATGACGAGCAGACCACCACTGAATCACCTTAATGACTTTCCTCCCATCAAAGGGAAAGGTTAAAAGGACTCAGCCGGGAGCAGTCATTTTGCCATTGCCTTACTAGGCTCTGGTGTGGCCATGTGCTCTTTGAGCTATGGCTGTTGCCATGTTTCCTGGCTTTGGTCCCCTATCCTACCTTGGGGAGGTGAATCTTCTCTCTCTCTCTCTCTCTCTCTAATTTTCTTTTAAATAAGCTATATTTTCCAATCCAACTTCTGTGCAATTCTTTGCATTTTTCATGCAGCATCGGTTCACACACTAGATACCCCACACCCCCAGCAGTCCTGACCTAACATTCTGGAGACCCTGCTGGGAGTGTGACCCTAACATTTTTGAAGGTTTCACCAAGATGTGCTCTAACATTTTTGGAGGTTCCACTGAGACCTAACACAACCCAAGCACTGATGTTTAGGTGAGTGGGAGAACAGAAAATCAAACGTCAAAAGAGATAGATTTAGAGAGAAGGCAGTACATTTGGCTGTAGGAATATTCCATTCCCTTCTGTAAAGATTTGTCTGCTTCTGTACACACTTGGAGGAACGCATGGAGTCATGAACATGTGCACAGATCTTCCATTGTTATGCATGTGCATGTGTCTGAAGAGATGGTGCCGCCCAGAACTCAAAACCAGACAACTTTCCTGGCACTGACCAGCAGTTGGGTTAAGTGCTTGTGAAGCTCTACATCTTACTGAAGTGCCACTTAAAATCTATTAAACATAAGTTAAAAAAAGATTCTTCCAAAGACAGATTTAAAGCAGATCTGAATTAAGAATCAACTGTCAAACAACCCACAAAGTAAAATAATAAGGGTCTGCCTCAGCATTCTGATCACAGATCTGCCTTGAATCTTCCACATAAAATGTTACACACTAAAACTCACCTCTTATGCAAAAGCTTTGGCAATGTTCTAAAATAATGGGGGTGTTACTTGTGTGAGAGAAAGACAGCGGGTGCGGCACAGTGGTTCAGGCATTGGATGGCTCTGGATTTGAGTCCTCACCCTAATGATCACTGTTCTTGGGCAAACAACGTGAATTCTTAGAGTCTGGAGTTCTTCATCTGTAAAATATGGATGATGTTAGCAGCTACCTCAAGAGTTGTGTGGATTAAGTGAAAAAATTAATAAAGGTTGTCTGACATGATGCCTAGTGTACAGTTAGTGCTCCATCAACAGAAGCTTCTATTTTTTACAGTTACATCGTAGGGCACACAGGCCAAGTTGGCATTAGGTATACAGAGGCGGGAGAGCAATAGAAGGCTTTGCAGTAGTGCAGGTATTAAGCGACATCATTACATACAGAGTATAGGTTTGCATTTAAGCCAAAACTTGTAGAGAAATTTTAAAATCTACTCTCCTCCTGCTCTCTTAACCTTGACATGCTACATCTGAAGTTCGGAACAAAGGTAGGGGGGTTTGGGAAGTTTCCAGACACTTCAGGGGCTTTCTAAGCAGTTCATATGTCAGTAGTACAAATACTTACCTCAAGAATTCTGCATGACAATTAGAGGCAAGTTAATCCCTTTTAGATGAGCACATTCAAGAAATACTCCACAGAACAAGGTAATTAGACTTAAGTGTGAGATTGGAAATAATATTTATGTTTTTAATCATACCACTTTATAACCTACACATCTTTGCATGGTTTGCAGAAGTTCTCACACACAAGCTTGCTCCAACTCCATAGCCTACATAAACAGGAATTTCTGTGCCTGACTCTGCTCAGAGCAGAGGAATGTGGAGTCATTAAAACCGTCCATATGCCTTCCTCTGTTCTCATGTTAACCCTTCTCTAGGAACCTGTAACACATTTGGATCTTAAAGCTTCTTTGTTATGATGAAGACCACTTTAAGTCCTTCACAAATAACAGAGACAGTTTCAGGAGTTTCATACAGTTCAGTTACCAAGGAGACCATCTCCTTAAAATCTCTTTGTTTCGAGAATGGGAGGTGCAGTACAGAACACAGTGATAGCTCCCCTCCACATAACACATATGTTAAAAGTTAACTGAAAAGTTTAATTGCGCTTAGTTTTGCAGAGTGGGCTTGGTTAGAATTCTGTGATTCTCTGAGATCACACAATGCTCTCCAATCTACTTAAGCCTCCTTTCCTTTTCCCAGGGATTTGGTTCTGCTAAAAACCAAGCAAGTTTTCATTCTTTAAAAAGTAACATTCTGACTGGGTACAGTGGCTCAAGCATGAAATCCCAGCACTTTGGGAGGCCGGGGCAAGACAACTGCCTGAGCCCAGGGGTTCGAAACTAGCCCGGGCAACTTGGTGAGACCTCATCTCTACAATATATTAAAAACAAACAAACAAAAAATCAGCCGGGCGTGGTAGCATGTGCTTGTAGTTCCGGCTACTAAGAAGGCTGAGGTGAAGGATTGCCTGAGCTCAGCAGGTCGACACTGGGGTGGCCGTGAGTGTCCCACTGCACTCCAGCCTGGGCAACAGAGTGAGACTCCGACTCAAAAAAAAAAAAAAAGTAACATTCTTTGGCTCATAAACAGAATGCTGAGTAAACGAAGTTAGACACCCAAAGACGCATACTGTGATTCCAAAGTTCAGAAACAAGTAAAACAAATCAGTGGTCTAACACAGCAGGAGGGTGTTAGCCTGGGCGGGGAGTGATGGTGGAGGTGGGGGGAGGGTGAGCGGGGCTTAGGGGTCCTGGTGGTGGTCCTTTCTGTGGAATTCTTGGCTGGTGGAAACGAACCCATGCTCTAAATACCAGCGTAAAATGCTGGTATTTAAGATGTACTTTCCCCTCAAATAATGAACATTTAAAAATAACACTTTACTTCATGCACATTAAAGTGACGGTAAGTTCTGAAACCAGGGCACATGTTACTAATTTTCCCCCGCAAATGCCCCTGGCCAAGGAGAGCAAATGAGGCCCTCCAGGGCCGGGGGCGCGGGTGGCAGCACATGCTACAGTGGGAAATGCCTCTAGGTTTCAAATTTGGTTTTTTAAAAAATTCATGAAAACGTTTAGATTCTATTTTGTATTATCTGGGTTTGTTTGAATGTGAGAAAGACTGAGAGCACTGTTTCTCATATTCAAACCAACCTAATTAGATCTGCAAGTAAAATTAACCCTCTGGGAGGAGAACCCTGTAGGGGTTGGGCTCCTCTGGTTTGAGAGGGCTGACAGAGTTCCCTAACCCTGTCACGTGCCATCTATCTGATGTTCGGATGGGCAGAACTTCAGACGGTGAGTGAGAAGACTGTAAGCCTGGCTTTCGGTCTCCACCCTGCCACCCCCAGTTGTGTGATCTTGGACAAGTCAACTTCTTGAAATTGGCAACAGTTGCTGCCATACATAAGCTGGGAAAATAACAGGTATGCGATGGGTTCACTCAGAATATGTGCCTCTTTGCCACACACATTTTTAGAATAAAGTCGGGTCCACTTCCTGGGTTCTCTGATGGAAGACTTCTGTTGGGGTGAGCTGCAGAGTAGAAGCCATCTGAGTGGGCTTGCCACAGGGTGAGACTTGTGTGCTGGCTTTAAAGTCCTGAACAGACTCTGCTGCTTGATGGCAGCCTGTCCAGAATGACCGTCTGTCATAAACTTGCTATTTCTTTGTGCTGCTGTTACCTGGCATGTTTAAGTAATGAAACAGCTGCTGCATTTCAATAGACAAAGGCTTACAGTATGTCTGAGGCAAGGCATTTATTGCCGGGCTTTAAACATCTTAAACAATTCCATATGGAGACTTGAGTGGCAGAACACTTAATGTAAACTTTTAAAGGAAGCTGCCCACCAAATTCTGAACTTTATGAAAGTTGGCTGAAACACATTCTTTTTCAGAAGGCCAAGTAGCCATTCCCATTTCAAAGAGGAAAGGCCACTGCGCTACTTTCGATAGATCAGGAAGCAACAGAGGACCCCGTTTTAGATATTTATTGGTTCTGGAGGAACGACTGGCTTTCCTGCTCACACCCATTTATAGAAGCAGCAGGGATCAGGGGATAGAATTTAGAATAGGGGTCAAACAATTAGTTTTCTAGTGGTTGTGATTTTGTTATCAATTCTTTCACTTGAAAATCTCTACTTTGAATCAAATGAAAAAATCAACACATATGCATAGCACAGTGCTGGTTGTTCATGGTGTTTCAGTGTCCTTGGACTCAACTGGGCACTTCTGGAATGAACAAACAGGGCTTGGGCATTCTGTAAGATCCCCTGAGATTACAAGGGCATTTAAATAAGACATATCTATTTTTGCATATGTGGAATTATACGCATAATTTAAAAATACATCATATATATATCATATATATGGCTTTTAAAAGATACAGTTTAAAACACACATACAGTAATACTCAAGGAAAACAGTCATTCCAGATATGTAAGATTATTTCTGGTAGATACAAAAATTAAATTGCAAACAAAGATAACCATTATTTCATAAGAATTCAGCATTACAGGCTGTTTTGCTTTTCCCATGTTCCTGTTAGTCTCTGCTCCAAGGTTTGCCCTTAGAGAGCGAGTCTTAATTGAAGTATCCCTTCTCATGACTCTCCCCTGAGATCTCTCAAGACAACCAGCAGAGCTTTATCTCCAAGGATAACACCCTCAGGTGGGGAGTTTCACCATTTCATTAAAGCAAGAAAACACACCAGTAAGGAACCAAGGAAGCCACCCCTATATTTCTCTCTATGTGCAGTATGTGTTTTTCTTGAGAAGGTGAAAGTAGGATAGCTTTGCAATAGAGTTTTTCCCCCCCTTTTAACTCATTTGTGTCAAACTACTCCTCACAGCTCTAGACTGGAAGTACTATTTCCTGTGCTAATGATTTAGTATCCTGTAAAGTAAAGTTGTGCTTGAACTAAAGGCAGAGCTAATGACTCTTGGTGAAACAGTGAAAAGATAAATGATCCTTAATCAAGACAATGTTTAAATAAGCAAGTGCCTGGATATACCACAGTAAAACAACTTGAATTTCACTTAAGTAAAGTGAAGAGGGTAATTTAAAAAATACACTGACTATTTGGTACTTTACATTTTTCTAAATGGCTTACAGTCACATTTATTATAATCTCAGACTGTTCTGTGAGATTCCTACTGTGTTCCTACGGTGGTTTTAGAAGTGGCTCACTTCAACTCAGGGGGGCAAAATGATTTGCTTCAGGTCACACAGCAGGCTTTTGGTCAAGTTTAAGGATACAATTCATAGCTTCCACATTTCCAATTCATTGTTTATCTGCTGCTGATACCTCAAAGCATCCTGCTAACCTTGTTTGAACACACACAATGTGTATGAAAATAGAGTTAGTTAAAAACAATATTGTTCATATGAGTGCTTGGGGTTTCTTACAGTCCTGGAATGCAGAGATCATGGACAATGAATGGGCTATCATACTTAGAAATAAAATTTTGAAATGAATCTTGAAATATGGATAAAGATTATTTTTAGTTCTTAAATGGACAACCATGTTAATTTCTTGCAGTACTAATTTCAGTATTAATTTCACAGTACTTTCATACATAACTATCTTCTGGAACAAATCCCTCAGTCAGATATACTTAATATAATATGTTTTCTACATTTGGAGCAAACAGATAGATACACAAAAGTTAAGTGACTCACCTTAGGTCGACAGAGTCCTTAGCAGAACCAGGTTTAGAACCAGGTTTCTCTTAAATTCTACTTTGGGGCTCTTTTTACTGCTTTGCCATTTAATTTTTATTTCTTAACTAAAAACCTTGCTTATAATTTATCACTGGTTTAAATAGAACAGATGTGCTTGGAAGATAACTAGAAATAAAATTGTTGGTGTCTCACTTGTCATGATTCTGAAATGTCCTCTATAAAATACCTCATTGTAGCCTATCTTAAAAGACAGATTCTCCAATAACTTGTGGTATTATTTGTATTGTAAAAAGAAGTAAACCAGACAACATAATTTAAGTATCATATTCTGACTATTATAAATAACCTTGAACAGAGAGAGATCTGGACCACATAGATCCATTGATGGCTAGTCTATCAGGATACTTTGAGATCTGAGGTTATATCATCCTTACCTTAGAAAAGCAAACTTCACTGACTTTGTATCCAAGGGTATAAAGCAAGAAGCTCTTTCTAAGGTTAAATTAGCGTTGCATAGTTTTTAGAAGCTGATAATAATTATATTGACATATAGTGTGTGTGTGTGTGCACGCATGTACATGCAGGGACAAATGTATCCTCTGCCTTTAATCTCAATGTCTAGGAAACAGGGCATCTGGTTTTATTACTGGCTTTGCAATTGATGTATGTTATGCCCATGACTATGCTGTTTTTGCTCTGCTTTATTAGGGCAAAACTCACACCCTTCTAGAAGAGAGCCAGTGGGGGACACCTTCGTATAGCTATAAGTTTTGGGTTTTCTTTCATTGGTCAGTCACTTACCACTTGAAATGGGAAATGATGGACCAGGGTAACAGGTATTTCAACTATCCAGAAAATATCACAGAGAATGTGTGCAACTTCCACACTAGGATGGGTTAGAAGTTAAAAGGGAATAGCTTATCATCACTTACGTTATTGATCATAAGATGCATTATCGTTTTTGGAATTAGGTCTCGGATACATTTGTTGATAATAGACATGTAGGAATCTACGAGGTTGCGAATGGTCTCCACTTGCCTCTCCAATTGCGGGTCCATGGAAAAGTTTTCTGCTTGGCCATTCTCGTCATTTTCAGTCTAACAGAAAAGAAACAAACCATGGATTATCTCATATTCACTCAGAAGAAAATAAGATACCAGACATTATCAGATGATCAACTTCTGGTGAGCATACAGCACCCATCCACTGGTTCTGAAAAGAGATCAGAACCCTGCCGTTGTTATTATTCCATCTTCGACCTGCCACATTCTAGGAAAAGCGAGTACTCTAATTCTGAACGAATGATGAGATGAATAACCAAATAAACAATGTACCTAACAACATGCCTCTGGAGAACAATCTAACCTTAAGCCACTTGCAAGCTGGCCAAAGAACTGAATCCAAACGTGTGATGCAGATGTAAAGCACTTGGGAGGAGTCTCCAGGGGGGGTCTACAGATTGGAAGTAAACTTGGTGTTGTTCTGGCACTGCTGGACCTGTTCTGGTCCAGATCAGCATTGGGATCAGCCCAGAGTCAAAACTAAATCTCCTAGAACTGGCCTGGGGCCAAAATAAGAGCTATAGATGATAATTTATATTCCATGCACTTGCTGGAATTTCTTACGAAAATTCAAGCTTCTGTCATCATTGCTAAAGGCTGACTCCATTGTGAAAAACGTACAATTTTAACTTCCAACTTGTTATTCTTTGAATAAAACGGAACACATCTATATACAAAGAACTTATTTATGTAACATGAGAAAAGCATCTGTTTTCTATACAATGGGACTAGAGTTAATCAATTTTGGCTTATCCACCAGAGGCTGGGGTAGAATGGGATCCTCATCATTAACGGCTGACCTATTGGCTTGGCACTGAAATCAATTTAGAGCAAATGGTCTCCATTTCAAGTCAGGTTGAACCATCTAAGCCCCAGAACATGATACATATATTGCTAGTGGTCTGGCTACTTTCTAGCATTTGAAAAGATTTAATTACGAATGTTAAAGGGGGAAATAATTTATTGCTTCCAATGTAGACATGAAGTACTTTTCTTTGGAAATGTACAAACTTTGATCTGCCAGGTTTTCAGTTATCCAATCAGTTCTAGGCAAAGCACTGTGATAAGCCCGGCTCGGTGGCTCAGCCTGTCATCCCACGCTTTGGGAGGCTGAGGTGAGTGGATTGCCTGAACCCGCGGGTTCGAGACCCGCCTGGGCAACTTGGCGAGACTTCATCTTTACAATAAATCAAAAAATCAGCCGGGCGTGGTAGCGCATGCCTGTAGTTCCGGCTACTTGGAAGGCTGAGGCGGAAGGATCGCTGGAGCCCAGCAGGTCGAGGCTGCAGTGGCCGGGAGCGGCCTCTGCACTCCAGTCTGGGCGACAGAATGAGACTACAACTCAAAAAAAAAAAAAAAAGCACAGTGATAAACAGTTTAACTAAATCCTTAAAAATGACAAGCCTTTCCTTTGAATCAGTGTTCATGTGTGGAAGGCATATTTACAGACCACAAAATCAACAATAACAAAGATAGAAATTAGTCCTAATCATTAATATACGCTTCTCTCACTTAGAAATAACTAATGTTTTTTAACCAACAGGGGAGAATAATAGATGCTCAACTCATCTGTCGGTCCTGAGAGGAGGGGCCCCTGCTTCAAGACAGCAGTGAGGACATTTCTGAGGCATCTCGCTGCCATGCAGCAAGGCAGAGGACTGGAAGGTTCATAGTGACAGGTGTTCCACTATACTGTCTATTTTAAAACACTCTTTGGTCACTGAAATAAATAACTAAAGTCCTATGTAGTTATTTCTTTTTTTACTGGTTTGTAATATAGGTACAATAGGACCTGGGATAACTAAGTTAAAAGCTAATGCCACAAAGTGGTAGAAGGATAGTGCAAAAGTCAGCCAAAAGTCAGTGGTGAAAACTCAAATCATGTTTCTAAACTTCTTTCCAGGGCATACATATCACTTTAAATCTGCAAGTGTGCACCACATACACCAAAATTCTGAATCAATCATCACTGTAATGCCATTTCATCAGGGTATTGTATTTTAACATGCTATCTTTAGGTTCAAATTCAAGCCCTATCATTTGGTTGTGCGGCCACACTTTGATTACCTAATGTGACTAAGACTCAACTTCTTCATCTTTAAAATGGGGAAGTACTTACCTGAAAAACTTGTGGAGCTAAATATAGATGATGTGTATGAAACGTCCTAGCAGAGGGCCTCATGAGTGCTCAATAAATATTAGTTTCTTTCCTTTCTGAATATTCATGGAACAAGAAGGAGTTGCTTGACTCCAACACACATTATAAAAAATTAAGATGAAGATTTTGAACATTTTCAATTCAAGCGATATAAAAATGCCGTGTGTGTGTGTGTGTGTGTATACACACACACACACACACTGGGTGCCAAAAAGAAAGCATACACATTTTAAGAGATGCTGTCTATGTGTTACTTTTCGATGTTGAATTGAATTATGGTAACAAAGCGTACACGTTCGTTCATAAGATGGCGTTAATCAAATGAATGCTAGTGTCACCATGTGACAGGCAGGACAGTCACAGAAAATGGCAGAAACACGGTTGTTGTTCGAGGAACGCAAGATCATTTTAAAGTGGTATTTGAAATTTGAGAACGTTGTGGAAGTACAATGACAATGGGGGTGTGGGTATGCAATAGAACCTCCAACATGCCTAACAACTGCACGCATTTGTGATGAGTTTGAGACACATGGTACTGTGTGCACAAGGAAGATCCAGGAGGACTCGCACAGCAACAAGTCCTGCTTCTGCGATGGTGTACCCGCTTGCCACAAAAGTCTACCAAGCAATGTGCACATGAGACAGGAGTTAGCAGAACAAGTATATGACTCATTCTTAAACAACAAACTAGAAAGTTTTCATCCCAAGATTATTGCATGCACTAAATGAAGACAACCCTGATCAAAAGGTGCGTACTGTGAGTAGTTCTAAAACACAGTATGAAAGGATGAGGAGTTTGTCTGATGAGGCACAGTTTAACTGAATGGAACAGTGTGGTTGAGTTTCCCCCGTGTTCTCTTGACTTGACATCCCTTGATTTCTACGGATGGGGGAACTTAAAGGATGTGGTGTACTGAAGAAAACCGGCTACACTGGCAGTACTTGGGGGAAAAGATTGAAATGGCATGTGCAGCGATACAAATGGACACTTTGTTCAACATTGCTCATGCAGTGGTTTGCGGTAATCAGAAGTGTCTGGATGCTGATGGTAACCACTCTGAGCACCTCTTGTAATTGTAGAAGTCAAACGTGACTTGTTTCCATCTTTTTTTATCAGTTTATATTGAGTATTCCAATTTTAATACAGTATTTTCCTTTCTTAAAATGTGTATACTTTTTTGGCGCGTGCCCACATGTGTGTGTGTGTGTGTGTGTGTGTGTGTGTGTGTGTGTGTGTGTGTGTATTTACACCTCCATGTTTTCTGCAAACCATTCCTCTTGCCTGGAACCTCCTCTTCCCACCACCCTTTGCCCCCTGTGAAGACCTCTCATTATCTAAGGACCTGCTCCACCATCACCTTTCCTAGTCAAGCTCCCTGTGGCCCTCAGACCCTCCACTACCACCTCCTCTGCACTTAATCAGTACTTGTAGTCACTTTCATTACTTAATATCACTATGGGATTTTGTTTATCTTTCCTTCCTCAGCGCCTAGTACAGAGCTTGGTGCATGGGAGGAGGAGGGTGAGAGGAGGGGTTAATGCTATAAATGGGGTTCCCCAAGTCAAGGGAGCCACTGCAGTGCATTTCAGGGTCTCCAGGAAGGCCTACTTGTTAGAGAAACCAGAGACCAAAGAAACGCCAATTTGAAGAGTAAGGATCTACTACTACTTGATAATAATGAGGATGATAAAATGATTATGAAATTATGTATATAAATGAGAACAGATGACCTATAGATTTGTGAAGAAATCATCTACATAAAGCAATATAAAGATCCATTATGAATACAGCATATTTCAGTGTGTCTTTCTGGCCTAAAACATTCTTCAATTTTGCCATTGTGTTTAGCAGTAGGAAATGATTGCATTTCAACAACAGTCTACTATTTCTCCCCAGGAACAATTATTGAGCATGTACTGGGTTCCAAGTATTGTGCTAAGCACTTTACATTGAAGATCTGCACCACAACCTTAGAACATGGGTACCATTATTGTCGAGCTATGGAAGAACACACTGAGGCTCTGAGAGCTGAATTGTTCAATAGGTGTAAGATGAATATGACTTTAAACCAATTTTTTCCCTTAGCCATAAAAAAAGAACACGTTATGAAATGACAAAATATCCATAATATATTAAGTTAGTTTTATAGGTAAAATAATAAGTGTAAAGAGAAGTTTCTAGGCAAAAAATATTCTTAAAGTACTGGTATTTGCAAAAAATATGTGCTAAAAGAGAAAAGCAGTCTACACGGCATTTATTAACATTAACCTCTAGAAATATGAAACACCAAGAAATTATATCACCATCCACATTTTCATATAGAAACACTGCAATTCCCCATTTCACACCTTTCTTAACATTAAGCCTTGCTTTACCTTTTTGCATACCAAAATATGCAAAAGATACTGACTTTCACTTTTTAAAACCAGGCGCAATTAAAAAGCAAAGTGCCAGAGTAAATGAAGAACACTGGTTTACTTTTCAACATTAAAAACACAGAGGCTTTCCAAAATAACCAGTAAACAATTTGAAATTCTCTTTAGCTTTTGGAAATACTGGTAGACATGCAGTCATGCAAATCCTACTTATTCTAATAACACAGTGGACGAGATGGGGAGTCAGGGAATTAATTTGATTTCTGATTTTTGAAAGAAACAAACAGTATGCCCCTTCTAATATGTCTAAGATGAGAGAGAAAAAATGTATATAGATGGAGTTTTTCTTTCAATTGAGTAACTGCCGAGAGCAAACATCCCCTTTTCTCCAACTCCAGTTTTAACCAAATTCTCCACTGTGCTCTTTTCTGTATGTATACTGTATTACTATGTTTTTTTCTTTGTTTAAATTATAGGATTGCAATAGGATTCTTTGCAGTCG